ACGATAACGGCTAACGAATTTGCCCTTTTGTAAATGTGCTTTTTACATTTTATGCGTCTTTACAATAATATGTAACATGCAAGCAAATGACAAGTTATTTGGGAATTCCGTAAGAATAATTTATCGGAAAAGTCATAACAAAAAATGTAATATGAAGACCATTAAAGCCCAAAATAGTTGACCCTCAGTAAATAACGTTTCGTTCAGTGTATTCCCGGGGATCGCTGAATTCAATCATAAAGTCCCTTATAATGTTTGCATTCTGATTTCTTTTCAATGGATGCAATTATTATTAATGGAGAACAGCATAAACCGAAACCCCTAGTTAAGCAATATGAACGATTTCAGCTTTTCAACGATGTTTTTGTGTTATAATTAACTTTTATTTCAATTCCATTTGCACGATTTGTATATGATCTGTAATATTCAATATGCCTTCGCGAAACGCAATTCGTTGGAAAAGAGACAGAGAAAAGCAAAAACTAAGTAATGCCCGAGAATATTAAAGAAAATGTAAGGCAAGCAATGCAAAAATACACTCCTCTTTGAAATATATCGCCAACCGACAACAAAAAGAAATAGGAAACACAAAATGCACGCTTCGAGAATGGAGGCAATAAAGCGACATTAATTCTTTTAAGGTTCTCTTTTTCTAAAACAAAACCGGGGTAACGCATTGCACTGAACATTAAACTTCCAGAACTTCAAAGAAAACTGAAAATCACAGGAAAGAAATTGAGTTTATGCTTAGAGTTATGTGATGTGATATCAGAAACCGTTGAAAAAGTATCGAGTCTGACAAAAAAATTCGTTCTAGGACTGCCGACTTAACTCAGCTCGAATGAAGCAAAACACAACAATAAGAACGTTTTCAGCTGCCATAAAAATGTCCTTGTGATGAGATCGGGGCATCGAGGAAGCGTTCCGCAGACCAAAAGAAAATTTCATATTCACAGTCCAGCATCCTCCGATCACAGGGCTTCAAAATCCAGAATATATTCTTTCTTACGGATTCTGGATACCTGCTTAGGAGGATGCAGTCCAGATGATTTTCATGCTTTGGCTACGTCAGACTTAAAAAGTCAGCAATATCATTCTTATTTCTTTCAAATGATTACGTTCAATCAAGTAGATGTAACATATTTTAAATGATAAAGCCTCTCTTGAAATTTGAAATCTTTAAAAAGGACTTTTCTGATGCATGATTGAATGCTGTTAATGTCATTTGGGATGAACAAGTATGGTTAATTGCCCTGTTGTTTGTGGTGCATGCAGAAAAGACTTCACTACGTCACCCTGCAGCTGGTCTACACCCATAGTAAAAGTTTCTCAAATTGTAAAAACAAATCGAATCAAAGTGTCTTGCCTCATATACTAGAGATTAAAAGAGAACTAGGGTGATTGAAATTGGGTGCTTGACAACATGGCATTTGCACCATCGATATAAAATGTAAAAGTGCTGGTTTCTTAAATCAGTTAAAGGTTTTGGTTAAGTTGATTTAAAAAAGATAATGTGGTGTGCACATAGTTATTGAAAATAGAAAAGATGTGCTCAGTACATGTAAACTATGATTGCATATGAGTCCACATATGTCACATGTACGTAACTGCTTTTCCCTTGGAGATAGTGAAACACGGCACGATTCTGCTATCCACTGATTCATGGTTTATGTCGAATTTTGACGGAAAATGAAACATATATGTGATAATATAAGACACAAATACAAACTCGTTTCTCAATTCAGCTAGCTATAGTCATCAAAAATGCCCATTCGTGAATTAAGACTTCTCTTAAGTGAACATATAACTCATTGTCATTGTTGTTTCTAATTTTTTTGTGAAAATCGACACGGGGAAAAAGGTGAACCAGCCTAATGATCAATGCTCCCCAAATAAAAATTTTATCATTTTCTATTCGTCTAAAGCATAATTTTTCATGATCGAATCGATTCATGTTCCAATAGGGTTGAACCCTTTTCATTTTACTCAGATAAAAAATACAACGTATGAAAAAATCGAGAAAATGATGGATTCGGATGTTTCATGTTGACAAGTGATGCACATCAAAAGGGAAATACTTATAGTCCAAATTCATTTATGATTTTAAAGGACAGTAGAGTAGCATAAGGAAAGCCATTGGCTTTTGGAAAATGCTACATTCTAATGTGAATATCTTGGCATATTAATCACGGACTGAAAATGTGAAAATCGTCACATTTGAGACGGGCCCTAATTTCAATTTGAAATTCCACCTATTGTTCCTCTGAGTTTACTTCAATGCTTTGGGTAACGTGTGTATAAATGTATATAGATACATACTACATGTCTATTTGAAAAAATAATTTTAATGCTTTTTTGAATTTTTAACAAAATTTGTTTCACACTTAAGCCGTTTTCAGTGAAAACTATTTACTAGTACTTCTTTTTAAACTTCTCAAGATGTTTAAAAAATAGTTTTGTGATTTAATGATCCAACCCGAAGAGCATGTTTAACAAAGAAAGACAAATCCAATGTTATTTTCCAAAGGGGAAACTCTTGCTATATCCATTGTTTTCAGCATAATTTTGGTCATTGCATTTATATCTCCAAAACTAGCCTTAAATCTATTCTACTCTTATAGAAGTTTTAGACACCTTGTTTGAAAAAATATTTTCATGCACTAAACATTATAAAAGAAGATCCCCTTGGGAGTAAATAAATAGTTCAACATTTTGAAAAAATGTTAAAATTGGGTCCCGCATTCATATCTTTTTTAAATTGTTTGATTTATATTTTTATTATCCATGAGAATTTACTTGAAAGAATGTTATTGGGAAATTTAAATTGAGAAAGTACTCATGGTAACCATTTAATCATCATGAAAATTAGAAACAAGAAAACTCAGTTTCCATAGAAAATGCCCATATGAGAATTGAATGTTCGCATTCCCATGAGAATCGATTAAAGTTTTTCTTAGTATTTTCATTCGCATGTCTTATTTTTTGTCAGAATTAACCCTATCGCTTTCATTGGTGAAATATGTGCAAAATAGCATCTCTCAAAGCTGACCTCTAAATGAATAAGTGTCAGGGTCAAATGTCAAAAATCTCAGAAATCACATATCATGAATTGTATAGTTGCAATATAAAACCAAAACTTAACCATCACATAACTTCATAATATAATGATTAATTATTTATATATCACTTACACCTGGGCTGAGAGGGGCCTAACCTGTAACTTCACATGTCTTTTAAAATGTTATTTTGATGAAATTCTATTTCTAGGCCAAGTAAACAATTATGGCGGTACATGCTGATTAACAGAGAAAATAGATAACTACGACAGAATTATTCATTCACTGAGACCATGGGGTATAATGCCAGGACCAATTCTGCATTACTGACTCGAGGTAATTAATCTAAAAAATATTGAATAGTTATGGAACACTCTGAGAAATAATTCAAAATCTCCCATGTCCTTCCGACGTCCTTCCGACAGACGATTTCTGCAGATCAATGAACAAAATGATACTTTTTTTGCAACGAGGATCTTGTACTAAAGTAAATATTTTGAAGGGTAGCACTGACTTACCCCGCGAGGACAGTAATTTGGACCGTTCGGGTACGAGCTCCCTTTAAACGTGTGGCTTAGCCTTCCTATCATTGCTTGCCGTACGTAGTTGATGATACAGTCGAATACTGATTCTGATGATACATAACCGGCCAGTACCTCATTGGCGAATCCACGATTTGACAGAAGGGGGTTCGAAAATTTTCGGCAAAAACGTTTTTGGAGCCACCACGGTGAATTTGGAGAACACTTTTCCAAAGGACCGTGAGTTGTTTGTAGAAAGAATCGGGGGAGTTTTTCATGCATTTCCCGTATGTTTTTCATTTTAAAAACAGGAATACACTTTAATCCGATAAATTATTTCTCAATTTCAAGGATTATCCATGGATTAGCCCAGGTATTTTTCAAACTTCAAAGGGCTGGGAATCATTGATTATCAATGCTTTTGAATAAGATATGAATGCTATTTAAATATCCATGTCACGCAGAAATAGCCTGACAACGGTAAAGTCAGATTCTGTTGTCACGAATGGCGGACATACGTCGCTTCAATTAGATTTTCATGAACTGTATGTTTAATAGAGCACCTAGACTAAATTCCTCTGGAACAAAAATCAATCAAAGTGTCTTTATACTCACTGTACAGTTAATAATATTCTACCAGCGAAACAAAGTCTTCAATTTAACCGATCAAAATGAGGTACGGGACAACGGTACCATATGTCGCTGTCTTTTTTAATTATTTCAAATTCAGATTCACGATAGCTACGATGGTAAATAACAAAAAAATGCTCAAACAACCGCGATATTGGTGTATTTTTAAAGTATTTGGCTTCACTTTTTAACATTCTGTGATCCTGGTTATGTAAATGATATTTGGAACTAAAGTCTATGTCAATGCATTGGGAATGAGCATATTTTATATTATTTACAATAAAAATGTATCCACAAAACAGCTATGTTAGTTTAAAACGGAATGCCTCTGTCCCAAATGATTTTGTGATTCAATGATTTTTTCTTCAGTTGATTTAATCCGGCAGCCGACAGCAGGTGTTAGTTGTATTCGCGAATACAAAGTTAGAGAGGGGTAAGAGAAAAGATCTATCTAACTATAGAAAATCTGACATTTTCAATGCCCATAAATTCCTTGTTGATGAATGTTCATGTGGGAAAAGAAGGATAGCAGTGGAGTGGACTGCGTAAAGAACTGCAGCAGCCCTAAATGTGTCCTGATAATTATAAACAAAGGCAATCATGGTAAAGAAGTGTTGTTTGAATAACTCATAAAGTGATTACCCTTTTTTCATTCCACATATTATATTATTAATAGAGCTTTGTATAAGTAGACAATCGTGGACCCTGTAATCATCAAACTCGAAACAGATTCAAGTAATGATAGTGATTTAGACTTTCTAGTTGAATACTTATAAAAAAGCTTTAGTTGTACCTTTGAAATGGTCCCCTGTAGTACATACCCCTCATGGTCAATACATTTATGCATATGAAGTACAACTGCAATAAACATACTTAGGTCACATTTGCTCCTATTTTCACTACTGCGCCCGGCCGACTGAGTATTTTGTTCAAAATTGAATACACTATTGAAAAAAAAACGCTCAATCGGCCGGGCGCCGGCCGATGGATCGGAGCAAATGTGACCCAGGCATTACTCCCTGATTTGCATTTTTTGTTAACACCATGGTAAATTCTCATTGGAATTTTGTTTTCTAGCTTTAAAAAACTAAATCAATTGAAGAACAAATCATTGAATCACAAATCCATTTGGGACAGAGGCATTCCATTTGCAACATATTGTTGTTTTGTGGATAATACAGGTATGTGTTCATGTGTTCATGTTCATGTTCAGTTCACTTCACATACTTTACAAGTGTAAGCTTATGTGCTTTTGATGTTTGAGCCTAAGCTTCAGGCGTCGTGTAAATGGAACAGAGGTTATTCATAAGTGGATGCAGCTGAGGAGTGCCTGGGTCACATTTGCTCCGATTCAACGGCCGGCGCCCGGCCGATTGAGTATTCTGTTCAAAACTGAATACAACCTAGACACGATAAAGCGCGGAAGAAAGCACAAAGTCGACATACAAGTTCCCAACATCTTTGAAGAAGCCTGCTGCATATCCTAGAAGGTGGAAAATGTCGTTTTTGACAAGCAGACTAGAAAACCCTGTAGAAGATTTGTTTTGTAAAATGCATAAGAAAAGAGAAAATTCTGGGACACCGAATTTTCTCGTTTATTATACGTTTTACAAAACAAATCTTCTCACTAATCTTTTCTAGGTTCATTGGTGCACTATTTGTGCAAACATGAAAGATGTAGATAATGTGGAGAAGGAGTAATTCCTATTTGAAAAATAACATGCGACTCCATTGAGGAATGCAGCAAATTTCCGAACATGCAGACTTACCTTAAGCGGCATTAAGATATACATGGCTTTATAACAAAAACGGAATAAATAAATAAGATTACTCGATGGGTTGCTGAAGCGGGGTGGCTCCATGACGATCTCCTAGAGGTGAGTTTTTACCTAATTTTTAGATTTAATAAATTACCAATGTGCAACTCCAAAGCATAGTATCCAGACATTCAGTCATATTTTAATTTGAAAAGCAAAAACGTAGATGTGCTAGGGAGGTGCGTTACTTTTGACATCGCACGCATTAGAAACGTCAGACAAATTATGGACAAATGATTGGTGCGTCAACATTATTCACCGTGATCACTTGCTCTCCTTTAATATGGAAAAATGTATGCTCCCTTTCACTCCCCGCCATTTCTTATTCAACCAATGAAGAAGGAAACAATGGAGAAAGACGTGGTAAGAATTTATCCCAAATTTGGTAATAATTCTCATTGATATAATTGCCCTAACGATTAATTACCTTCATGTTTATAAAGTAAACAGTATAAGCTTTATGTACGTATAACTTACTAGATATTTCTATAGAAGTATCAAGTTGAAGTTGCATTTTACAAACGTCATATTTGTGAACATCATCTAAATTTTGTGTGTACTTTCTTATTTTTTCTACAATGTATTCTCGTTGCATCTTGTGTTGAGTGACTAAATCAAACCATTGTAGGCAATTCAGTGTTGAGAAATTTGAGAAAAATGGGGAAACTGAAAAGGCAGCCATTTTGATTGTTTTTCCATGAAATATCGCCATTTTCATTAGTTACCATTGACCTATTACAGTCAAAACATCAATGTCTGTGACTAATTTGAATTTAAAAAATAAGCAATCAAATGACCATATTGAAACATTTTATGTAAAAATAGAAAGATTTATATTTATCCTAACTTTTGTTTATTTTAGTTTGTTTTCTAGTTTAGCTATCATATCTGTGTCCTCTTATATTTTGATACTTCTCTGCCATGTTATTTTCGGAAAAATTAACATGGCTGAAACTCCCTAAACTACAAAAGGCCACAGCTTTGCTGCACATTATACATTACTTTCTGAAATATACAAAAGTTAGGATAAATATAAATGTTTCGATCTATTTTTACATAAACTGTTTCAATATGATAATTTGATTGATAATTTTTTTTAATTCAAAGTAGTTCCAAACATTACTGTTTTGACTCTACCAGGGTTACTATAAAAAGGAAAACCATTTCTTGGGGCACTGTAGTTATCAGAAATTTACACCAAACAGGAAATGAAAAAAAAACATGTTGATTTCAGAATGTTTTAAAGGAAGATCATTTGGGACAGAGGCATTCAATTTGCCACTTAGCTGTCATGGCCTAGAATAATGGAAATAACGCCACAACGCATGAGCGTAAACAGGTAAATCGACATTTCATGGTCCTAAGAGTTCAATGGAGAGCAGTCTTCATCAAAATTTAAAATCTTATAACTTTTTAGCAAATCATTTATTTTCTTAGGATTCAACGGATCCTTGTTACAACCAATGATGTGTTATTTTTGATGTATAAAACAGCAAATCCATCCAGAGATCTTTCGGCCTTTTAATAATTTAATTTTCGAGATGTTTTGCTAAAATCCCCCATTGGCCGCCATTATAAACTTTGAAAAAGCTCAAATCCTGAATCATTTCACATCATTCGTAAAGTAATCTTAAGGTGCTATGGAAGTTAACAGGAAATGACAAAACAAAAAATGTCAAAACCATGCTGGATTTTTGAAAAAATTTTGAACCAAGATAACAGTTCTGTTTGGACCTCCAGTCAGTTTAACTAGTTCCACATATCATTTACATGACCGGGAACACAATGAAAATGGTCAGAGTGACCATAAACATGATGAAATAACCTTTCCAGCCCTCTGAAAATGTGACTGAAAAATAGCTAAAAGTAGGTGCTCAGGAAACACAGGCTGGTATCGAAAGATTTGTCCGCTGTGACGGAGCATGCTATTTTTCATAAAAACACTAAGAATGCTTCACGATTTATTTTTTAACTCATATGTTTCGTTATATCAAAGATGATTACTTACTCCATGCAATGGATATATCATTTGCGTGTAACCTTCACTTCTGTTTGAAGTCTAATAACGCTAGGAGTAAAATCTATTGAAAACGGCGCCAGAGTATCAAACTCTAAAATGTACCATTTCTTTTTTAACTTTTTAATGGCATGATATAGTGACACGATAATATTAACATATGTTTTAAGCATAACTCTGAATGTATTAATGAGATATTAATGCATTGGGTCTTTTTAATTTTTTTAATAAAAAATAATATTAATATTTTTTGTCCGCTGTGACGGAGCATTTTCACAGTTCACATTTACAACTGCTCCGTCACAGCGGACAAAAAAATTAAACATTATTTTTTATAAAAGAATTAAAAAGACCAAATACATCAACATCTCATTTATACCTTCATAGTTATGCTGAAACAATGTATAAATATTATCGTGTCACTATATCGTGCCAATAGAAAGTTAAACAAGAAATGGTACATTTTGAAGTATGATACTCCGGCGCCATTTTCAATAGCTTTTCTTCCCAGCGTAATTGGACTTCAAACAGAAGTGAAAGCTACCCGCAAATTATATATCCATTGCATGGAGTAAGTAATTTTGTATGGTATAACGAAACATATGAGTTAAAAAATAAATCGTGAAGTATTCTTAGTGTTTTTGTGAAAAATAGCATGCTCCGTCACAGCGGACAAATATTTCGATACCAGCCTGTGGGAAAGGTCAATAAACAAAATCTTAATTTTTTCAGAAAATGTGTCTAATATATTGCTCTAAATGATACAATCTTTGAACTTTTAAAAAAATCGTCTGAAACAATAATGGCTGTAGTTAAAAGGAAAATAGATCGATTTTAAATTCAGTTTTTTCATTTTTTTCTTTTTCTAAGAATCACGCCCGTTGATCGCACAAAAATGATGGAGGGGGAAGGAGGCGATTTCTGCAAGAAAACTCAACAAATTAGGAAGATTTATTTTTTCAAGAGGAAATTTACAACTGAATTGCCAAATAAATAGGCGCAGTGCATGGCAAAATATGTTAGGTCATCTCGTATTTTTTTTGAACTGATACCCTTTTAAGATATGAGATCTATTAAAAAAGGCGCATCATCACCAACGTGCAAAAGTCAATGTTTTTGCTATAAATCGGGCAACAATGGTCTACACGACCTGTAATAAATAGGTATAAGGGACGTTATTATCACAATACTAATGACATTGCTCAATTTTAAAGTTAGTTTCCATGTGTTATACAAAAAATAATCGAAATAAATTAATTTGGGATGGAGGGGGGGATCGGTTGGAGGGGGGGGGGGGCTCACGTGTATATAGGACATGATAAGACATGCTACTTGAACTTATTCTAATGACTCCAAATTTTCCCATTTTTCATTCTCCAGTGATTTAATATCCAGTTTCTTACTGGCGTACTGAGTTTAGGTTTTCAAATACACGAGTTCTTGTGAATTTGTTCCATCGTAAAGATATATAAATCCAACGCCAATGACCAATCGCCCATACAAATGCATCGCTAAATATTTACCATTCACATTTAAGTTGTGAAAAACATTGCAAGCTTGAACTCCCTATTGAGAGTCTCTGAAAAGATAAGATAAAATGGATAAGATAAAACAGCAGTTGATTTAATATTATCAAATATACTTTGAATAAGTTTTTTAAAATGGTTTCATGGTGATTCCTTCCAATTTCATGAAAATAATATGTGATTTGTCTCATGGGGTATCTTACATTTTGACGAAAATGTGTACTTTTTAACATATGATCTCCATTTCCATAGCAACCAGTTGATCAACTTTAATGAAACTTGTCATTATGGTAGGACATACTAAGTACATGATTACCTGGAAAAATCAAGATGATTGACTCTATATTCTAGGAATGATATACGGCTTTCCAAGTACCCCCCTTAAAATTAAACCAGGGGGGTATAAATCTGAATATTTCCAAAACGCTGAAAAACTAGACACCAATAATTTCAGAATCAATGTATAATAAAAAACCACAAATAAACCTATATGAAGAGAAATTTGCTACTTTTCAAAACCACTTTTACACCACGCTCATCCCAAGGAGGATTGGAAGCCAGGGTTCCAACTCGATATTCTTTAATCTCCACGCATGCGTCATTTGCTATTC